TGACTCATGAATTTGCATTGCAAATAATGTCAAGAAAATATATAGTAGATAGTGTTTTTCAGTTTGACACCTATTGTTATGATGAATTTGAAGATAAACTAAGGTCCACAAAAATAAAGAGCTACTTTCAAGTTCATTCAATTATCAATGGTAAATTTAAACAACTATCTAAATTCCCCATATGTGAAATCCAACTGAATCTTCCACTTGATCCAGATTTTCACTTCAGCGTAATTTGAGAGAAGATATTATTATGCAATCCATCTGGTCTAAGCTGATGTTTCACACAATGTGAGAGACCCTATCCCACTGGACCTTGAGTTGGTCAATATGCTTTGGCGTAAGCAAGAGCCAATCTGGATTATTCAGAATCAGGAGTTTTAGATCCATTTAACAGCTCTCCAGGATTGGATTCTCTATCCTAAATGAACTAATTTTCATTGGTCTAGCGAAGTTTGCCCAGATATAGAGAATGCCATTTCTTCTATTAAAAACTGAAAGATATTAAGAAAGCAATTCTTATGAGTAGGATGGTAAGATAATGGGAGGTACCTCTGGGTGTCATATAGGATTCATGCAGGAGAAAATACGGAGGTAAACTGGAGAGCAAGCTGAGTCTCTATCCAAAAAATTAGTTAACATATTATACACTACCACTGCCGTGTCCACCAAATGGACATAGACCATGGGCCTTAAAGTCTGATATGTGGTGAATCAGATGGTCAGGGAGTTGCTACTTTTTCAAATACAGGAAATCAACTGACGGTCTTTAAGCAGTGGATAAAGGGGCTACCACTGTTTCTCCTACAGGGTCAAGAATTCTGAGTTGAAAGGAGCTTCAAAGGTTCAATGCAAAAATGCCACCCAAAACTGTGCTATCCAGTGTAGTTGTCACATATGGCTGCTGGCCACTTGAAATACAACTAGTCCAACTGAAATTTCCAGTAAATATAGAAAACCCTCTGAAATTTGAAGACTTACTGCTTAAAAGTGAGGTAAAATCTCATGAAGACATTTTATATTTACTATATATAAAAGTGACAATACTTCAAATATCTTAGATTAAATCTATTACTGAAAATAATTTAACTTATGTAACACTTTCATATTGCTGAAAAAAATAATATTCACAACTTAAAGACAGGGAAGTCTATTTTGCCTCACAGTTTCAGAAGTTCCAATTCATAGTTGGCCACCAATACATTAGAAATGACACAGAGAAGGACATGACAGAGAGAAGCTGCTCAAACTATGGCAACTGGGAAGAAAAGAGAGGTGGGAGGATCCAGGGACAAAAATATATGCTTTCCAATCATAATACCAGGACCCACTTCTGAGCATGCACTACTTCCTAAAAGGGCCTTCATCTATGAACATGTTAGTGGACTAATCCATAATATAATCACCTCCCAAAAGCCCCACTTCTGGACATATGAAATTTTGGGGGACTCATAAACTGTAATATTCACCCCTGATTGCCAAAAGGCTCATATTCATCTAAATACACAATACGCATTTAGTTCATCTCTAAGAGTTGTCAAAGTCTTAACAGTTCCAGCATTGTTCAGAAATTCAAACCCAGGTCTCCTCAAATTCTTAGCTGTGAGACCCTGTAAAAATAAAGTTAAATGCTTCCAACCTACAGTAGCACCACATAAACGGTTCTGTTCCTAAAGGAATAGCAGGGGTATAGAAAGGAATTTGATCAAAGCAACAAACTGAAAATATTAAAGCACAGTTCCATGTCCACCATGCATCTGTGACCTCCAAAGGGCTTAGGCAGACCCAGCCCTATAGCTTCTCAGACTGTAGAATACGAAGTCTGTCTCTTGAACTGGCTTCATTCACACCCTGCTGCTTTTGTTGGCAGACATTTCATGTTCTTGGCATCTCCAGTTTCCCGGGGTACACATTGCACCTTTGGCTTCACTTGCATAGATTCATGCATTTCCCTCTCAGTAGCACATTGCTTTGTCTCTCAAATCTTCAAGATCTGAGTGACAGCCTTCTTGATCCCACAACTTTTGTATTCTGCATGTCTGTCAAAACAGCACCATGTGGATGGCACCAAAGTCTGCTACTACCTATAGCAGTATGCAGGCCCTTGTGCTAAGTTGTCTCTGAGTACTAGGATGGATGAAAGCAAAGAAATCCTTCCCTGGATGACTTGGAATAAACAGAATACCACAGGGCTCTAAAAGCAGTCTTGAGCCAGTGATGGGTGGGGTCTCTGGCCAATTCCAGAGATTTCATCAACAGTTTTTTTCTAGTCTCCCAGTACTTTTTTTTTTAATACCAAGAATTAACTCAGGGTCTTGTGCTTAACAGGCAAGTGCTATGCCACTGAACTATATCCATGGCCCCCAAGTACTTTGCATAATTTTTTTGCACAAATGATACATGCAAAATTTTTAGCCCAGTTTCTAATAAAGCCTTGTTACCAACTGAAACCTCCTGAGCCATTAACTCTTTGTATTTCTATCAGACATCTGGTCTTCTGAGCTTTGACCAGTATTATCAATTATTGATTACAGCAGTTGAAGACTCCTCTGGACAGAATCATAAACCTTTCCAAACTCCTCTCCAAATACTATTCCAAAGGCTTGAGAACCCATGAGGAGGTATGGTCAGAGCAATGTTCCCACCTCTCCGGTACCAATTTTCAGTATGTCACTTTTCTCTCACTGGGACACTTTGTCTCAACTCCCAGAAAGTAAAGGAGAGTGATTTATTGTGGGTCACAAATTCAGTGGGTTCTTTCCAAAGTCAGTCAGCTCCAGGTTAGAAGCATCCTGGCAGAAGGGTTTCATAAAGCAAAGCTGATAACTCACGGCAGCAAAGATACAGAGAAGGGAGAAGTTGGTGACAACAGTATACCTGTTTAGGCCATATCCCATTACCCTTCTTTTCTGACCTGATAACTCCCTCTAATAGCATACTGAGAAGTGAACCAATCAATGCATTGATTCACTGATGAGGATAGTGCTCCTATGACTCCATCACTTGCCAAAAACCCCATTTCTGAACACATGAGACTTTGGGGGAACATACGAGACCAAAGACAAAACATCCTATTTCTTCCTTATGTGGCTACTAGATCTAAAACCGCACATGTAGTTCACACTGTTTCTCTTGCACAGTGCTATTCTACAGAATTCCTGGTAAATATTTTTATTCTCTCCCCTCCTTTCTATATATATACACTAATCTCTCACAAATTCTAATTTATTGCTCAACCCTGGGTATAAGGAAGCAGATTTTTAAAAATCCACTATATATTCTGCCAGTTTTATCCACCGAAAATCATGATGCTCTATGGTGATCTTACAACAGCAACCTTTGGTGACTCTTACTATTTGCCCATGTGTCCTATACCTATCAGTGTTGTCTGGTCTCACACGCCTGCAGTTGGCCTTATTATACCTCCTATAATACATTGTCCAGGTCTCTATTGAGTCTTACTGTTCTTCTTTCAATGATCTAAGTTTTCATTAGCCTCTTCTCTGAAGTAAACCTTGTTTTAATTATCCTGCCAGTAGAACCCACTCTCTAATCCTGAATTTTGGCAATCACTGGAGAGGAGGAGGATAGTTTAACCTTTTTGTCTTCAATTCAGGGAAACCTGGACCAGTGAGACCAGTAACAGGCACAATATTTAGTCAAGGCAATTATATTATGTGGAGGCAGTGTCCTTGAGATGGAATCCATTAGGCAAGAAAACCAAAGTATATCTTAAGTAGGGATGATGCTTACCAGCATGATTTACCTCATTAGACCCCTTGGTTCAGCTATGCTTAAAGTAATATAATCCTTGGCTTTGGAAACAAAACAGACTGATGCAACTTGAGATAATACTCATAAATGAAGTACACCAGATTCACGTGTGTAAATATCAAATTGCCTCCCTGATGTGAGAAACTGAAAAAGTAAATAAGGTCTAAAATGTGGAACAGACATTGTAAAATGGGACAAAATATTTTAAGAGGAAAAAGGAAATAAGATGGGGGAAAGGGGAAAGGGAGAAAATACAAGTTAGCTATATTATTCCGTGTCTCTTGGTTCACTGAAAAAAGATTTGTGTTACTATCGGTTGGAGAATTTTATGCCCATATTTTATACTCTAGGCACTATTTTAAAAATAAAATCATGCAGTGTATCAACTGTTGGGTTCCAGCAGGCAAATGGAAAACAAAGGGTCACACACACTAAGGGTCAGCAAAATGCCTTCCACCCGGCCAGCCTAAGCAGGTAGCTTTTATTGAGATGAAGAACAAAGAAACTCAAATTTTGCATGCTCAAATTATATAACGTGTTTACTTTTTGACCTTACAGGACCTCATGTTTTTTATCTTGGGGTGGAGATGATATTTCAAGGCCTGTAATTTTTCCATAATATTGTTGACTGGATGTGTCCAGGACAAAATGGAGTCAGTGTGGCCTCTCTTCATCTCCTCCTTCTTTTTTTTTTTTTAATTTAGGCTTCCTTACCATGTCAGAAGCCAGAATTTTAGGTATGAACATTTTGCATAGGGATGGGATACTTTGAACAAGGCATCCCATACCAATTAAGCAGATAAGGACAGTAACACCATAAAAAAACACTTATTTTAGCCAATTGATATCCAGTAACCACCCTGTAAGGAAATTCCATAATCCAGTATTGAGCCCTTGAGACACATGTATCTGTTTGGTAAGTTCTTGTAAATCATGAAGTTTCCCATTGATGGATCTACTTTTATCAGACAAATTAAAACAGCACATTTGAACAATTTTATTACATTCATGATGATGCAATAGAAGTAGATAATCAATTGTAGCATGATTTATCTAAAATTGCTTGTCAGTGCTCACTTTGTTCTTTAATAATGCCAAAGCTGTAGAAGTACAATTAATTTGTTTCACCATGAGACAAGCTAGTGCATTAACATTGTGATTGGCCTCAGCTGGCAGAGCAGGCACACCAACCAAAGAAATACCTAAAGCATAAATTTTTGTTTCAGTTAACAGAAGCACAGAATGGATCAGAATTGGAGGCTAGGACTCAGTCAAAAATCAAGTATGACTGGTATCAAACAGAATCTCAAGTAATTATGACACTTATGATTAAGAATGTTCAGAAGAATGATGTAAATGTGGAATTTTCAGAAAAAGAGTTATTTGCTTTGGTGAAACTTTCTTCTGGAGAAGATTACAATTTGAAACCGAGACTGCTTCATCCTATAATACCAGAACAGAGCACATTTAGAGAACTTTCAAAAAAGATTGAAATTAAAATGAAAAAGCCAGAGGCTGTGAGATGGGAAAAACTAGAGGGGCAAGGAGATGTGCCTACGTCCAAACAGTTCATAGCAGATGTAAAGAACTTATATCCGTCATCATCTCATTATACAAGAAATTGGGATAAGTTGGTTGGTGAGATCAAAGAAGAAGAAAAGAATGAGAAATCAGAGGGAGATGCAGCTTTAAACAAGTTATTTCAGCAGATCTATTCAGATGGCTTTGATGAAGTCAAACGTGCCATGAACAAATCATTTATGGAATCTGGTGGTACAGTTTTGAGTACCAACTGGTCTGATGTCAGTAAAAGGAAAGTTGAAATCAATCCTGCTGATGATATGGAATGGGAAAAATACTAAATAAATTAATTTGCTATCACTGTAAAAAAAAAAAAGAAAGAAAGAAAGAAAGAAAAGAAAAGTCCCCACATAGGTCAGTGAGACTAGTTGTAGACCGTTTGGTGTGAGACAGTGTAAATTCAGGAGAAGGCAACAATACAGTAAGGTGACTAAGGCAGCATTTTATGCTGCGAGGTAACTTAGAAGGGATATAATTGAAGGTATACTCTTCACATGAGAAAAACCATCCATCAGGGAGAGGGCCATGCCCATGTCCATACAATACTGGCTCATAACGAGACCAATTTCAAGTACTATTAGGAAGGCAAAGACACTTAATAGTACAATTTTTAATATGAGCACATGAGGCGTTTGAAGTTATTACATATGGAGTGAACATTTTAACAGCATTATCAGGTTTTTAAGGGTGGGAGTGCCCCAATTTGGATAGTCAGCATATGTTACAATTTTGTTTGGAATAGTGGGAAAAATGGTGTAACTATTTAGAAAAGCAGGGCCCTTGCACATCAGACTCAGACAGGACCTGAGAATGCATCTTATTTCCTTCTTCTGAGCAAGACAGAAATGAGAGACATAGCTATTTTTGTCAGTTGAACCCAAATATTGTATTCCAATTTTTCCTGGAGGTTATAGGACTCTAGAATCCCCATGGTGGGTTACAGAACACATAGCAATAGAATACAAATAAGCATTAAAGAGTTCACTGTCAATTTGGTAAATACCATCACAAGAAGCTTTTTAGCAGTGGGTTTCTCTTCAGATGTGCAGAGCACATCTTGTGCTGACTGGATCACCACCTTTATATCATCCTAGGTCACTGGCTGAGCAGTAGTTGTCCTGGGTCACTTCTGAGGTGGGCAGGTTTGATTCAGGGAGAGGCAAAACTGTGGAATTGGGGTGTGCAGCCTGTGGTGCCAACTCATTCTGTGCAGGGCAAATGTAATGAGCAGGAATCCACCCAGGGCCCGTTGGGGATAACACAGAAGCATCCCATCCTCCCCAGGTCAGCAGGAGTGCTGGTCCCTGCCAGCTAGGTCTGGGGCATTTTGAAAGAAATGGAACCAACATAGTCAGCCAGAGCAACTTGAAGAGAAATAGTAGAGGACAGCAGAAAGAAGTCAGTTTTGTAAGTGATAAAATAACATCAGTGAGATCAATTCCAAGGAGTGCAAGAGTATGTCCTTGAGAGATAAGAGAAGAAATAGCATAGATAATGGGAAATAAAGTACTACCAGGCAAATGGGGTAAATGTAACCATTCAACAATAAATATTTGTTGTCCTGGATGGCAACAAGAGCCCTGGTGGGCAAAGGGGCTGATGAAAAATAATTAAGGAGAGAGGGCAGTCCTTCGGGACTCAGTCCACCATATAACTGTGGGCCTGCCGAAAAGAAGGAGAGTCAGAGATCCCATCAGCAGCATCTGTGTGACCCCATAGAGCATCAAATAGAGGAGCTAACTGTAGAGTGTTCAAAGGAAAATAGGGTCTTACCCAATTAAGGTAGAGACAGCAGAAGTGGCACAGCTGGGAGCAGCTGGAAGGCAGCCATGCGGTTCCATCTGTTTGCTGGCCAAAGGTAGGAGCAGCATCCCAGCAGCAATGCCAGGTGTGCAGGACAGAGATAGGACCTCGAGGCTCCACATGCAGCAGTCTGCCTATCTTTTCCAAATCCTCCATAATGAGCGTTCCTCCCTCAAGACACCATGGACAATAATCATGAGTTTCTTGCAAAAGTCATACTAAATTACACTCAGGGAGCCCATGGCCTGCCTTCTTAAGGAGAAAAAGCAGCTCTGCCTTCTGTTTCTGCAGCACTTTGGACAGGGAATTTCCCATGACTTACCAGGGGATTTTCTGAAGAAAATGAAGTCTACGTGTCAGGTGCCACAAGCCACCCAGGAACACAGAGAAGGCAACTCATGCTCCATAGAAGATGTCTCCACTGTTGAGTCCCTGTTCAGGCACCAGATTAGGGGTTCAGCAAGCAAAAATAAAATAAAGGGTCACACACATTAAGGGTCAGCAAAATGGCTCCCACCCGGCCAGCCTAAGCCAGTAGCTTTTATTGAGATAGAGAACAAAGAAACTCAAATTGCACATGCTCAAATTATATAACTTGTTTACTTTTTGACCTTACATGTTTTTACTTTGGGTACGGGTGATGTTTCAAGGCCTGTACTTTTCCCATAACATTGTTGACCCTATGTGTCTGGGACAAATGGCGTCAGTGTGGCCTCTCTATAATCAACTATTGTTCTCCTATTATTTTGTTACGAATTTGTTTATCCCCTTTTTCCATAAAATAAAAAATAAAGTAGCCGCTAGACAAGCAGCAATGGTTTATAAGTAAACACAGAAAGATAAATAGAGATCACAGAAAGACCCTGATTCTATGAATCTTCATTTTTTCCTCTGAAGAAGTCTATCTGTCAATCATTTACCCACATCAGGGAGAAATCATGTGATCAACATTCCATTTTCTCAGGTTGTCATTACACATTAAAATGATACTTCTTAAATACTTCCTCTGTGGTGTGTGGCAAGTAATTAAACAACACTATAACCTGCTTCATCATATAAAATCAACGTGTGTGCAAAAACAAATTGACTTCCATTAGAATTACTAACACATTTTTATCTGAATTTCTGATAGATTTTTACTAGGTAACATGCAAGCCTTCTGGTACTTTTTCCTGTCTCATGCTCAGAAAATGAATGGACATTATTCTAATTCTCTGAAACTAGAAATGGCTTTCAGTAATGGCTGTTACCCTACTCCAAGAATAGTTGAGTAAATAAGATGGAAAGTAACTCTTAATATTGTGTATACAATACGGTTGAAGATAAAACCTAGATAAGAGTCCCATGTTCCTGAAATAGGCTTTCACATAGTGTCTGCATTCTAAGTAACACCTTCTGTCTAAAGCTTGTTTTGAATTCTACAGATCATCTTCAAATGTAATTCTTTCATATGATCAGATTACTGTATGATGGTTTTTCACAGAGTAGAAATATCTGTTTAGATACATTGCTGTTACTATTTCTGGATAGCCACAACTATTTATGCACCTGCTACCTACAATGTGTTTTTCAGACACAATCTGGATCCATTTTTATGAAAAATCTCCTGGAGGTGAGCACTTCATTTTGACCATACCCAATCAGAAACTCTGAAACCTGCTATATTCTGAAATCCAGGACTATTTGAACGTCAAAAAGTTTCAGACATCAGAACATGACAGATTTCAGATTTTCAGATTAGAGATGCTCAGTAAGTTAATGCTATGCAAATATTCCAAGATCTACAAATCTCCAAAACCTGAAACCACTCTGGTCCCAAGCATTTCAAATAAATGTTAGTCAATTTGCCGTGGAATCTGTCTTTTATTGTGACAAGAGCTAGGGGTTAGAGAAATCATGCAGTTGGCCTAAATGAGACATCTGATAAATGGACAATACAGTTGATTCAATTTCTAGCTCTTAGCCCAGAGCCCAAGACATTAATATGAATATTCTATACTCAGGAGGATTAAGAAAACTTTTTTGTTAGTTGTGTAAATACAGACAGAGCTTCGAGGTTCGAGAGTTCTTACTGATGCATACATACTTTCTATATGTTACCATATATGTTCAGGAGCATTGCTGAGCAGAACCTGCAATATATTATTTCAATGCACAAAAGGGAAAAGTCCAAGATTAATATATAGGGGCTCTGCATACGTTATGCCTTATTTTTTTAATTTCAGAAAGGCATAGAAATATGCAAGGGGCACAAGCCAAGAGCCATCCGCTTGAGTGGGACCCCATCAGCAGTATTATTTTTTACCTTCATATTCTGTAAAGCACATTTATTCACCTGCCTAGTGGACAGTCCCATTTTCCACACCTCAAGAAGGTGGTACCTAAACAATGAATCTTTCTCTAACTTAGATTCCTAAAATGATACTCAGCTTAAAAATTCCTATGGAAATTCCAGGGACAGGGAATGTCAAAATGGTCTCTTAAAAGGAAAAATACGGGCTGGGTATTTAGCTCAGTGGCATAAGTGCCTGTCTGGCAAGCATGAGCTTGTGAGTTCAATCCCCAGAAACAAGAATAAATAAATAAATAAAATGAAGAGAGAAAAAAATAATTTGAGAACTCACAATTCTCAATTTCAAACTTCCTACAAGAGGTAATCAAGCTGTGCCTAAGGATAGATGTACAGATCAATGAAACAAAACTGAAAATCTCCAGAACTCAGACTCATGAGTTCTGACTTTTAAGAGGAGACCAAGACCATGTAAAGGAGAAAAAAAGTAAAAGTCTTTCCAACAGATTAGTGACAAGTGGATATCTACAAGCAAAAAAACAAAACAAAACAAACAAACAAAAAACAACACAGTGAAGAGGGGCATCTACCTCACTCTCTATACAAAACAATAACTCAAATTCTACCCCAGATATATTACCTAATATTGTAAAACTGTTAGATGGGAACATAGATCTCAATTTCTATAAGTTAAGCAATACTTTCTGGCGTATAACACCAGAAGCATATACAACAAAGTAAATATACAACTATATACATGACATCCTCAAAATTAAACCTTTTATACTTTAACATTCCCCATCAACAGAATGAAAAGATGACAGACTGAAATGGGAGAAAAATTTGCAATCATATATCTGTTGTCACATATATATTTAGGGGACATAGAGGAGTATTGTCATATGATTACAAAAATCACAATCACATTCAATGACAAAGCACCTGAGCAGCCAGATCTCCAAAGAAGACAATAAGCGGTGTGGTTAGTAAGCCTATGAAAAGGTTCTTAGTGTCCCTAGCCATCAAGGAAACAGGAATCAAAATCAGAGTAGGATATCACTTTATATCTACTAGAAAGGCTGTGACAAAAAGAAGTGACAGAGACAATACCAAGTGTTGATGACAACGGAGAGACACTGTCATATCGCTGGTGAGACTGTAAGAGATAGTCACTTTGAAAAAGTTTGGCAGTTACTCGAAATTTAAATGGAGTTACATTAT